GCGTGAGTTTAAACCACCAAGTCTGGGACTCGAACCGCAGTCGACTACATGGGAGTCCAGCAACATAGCCATTACACCAACTGCTGGTCCTGAGAAAAGTAACTCTTAACCTTAAAGCAAAAATAAACCTGTAAGAACAGTCATTGGGACCAGCATGTGACATGGTGGTTAAGGTGCTGGACATTCCCGCATGGCGGACACTGTTCAAGTCCTGGACCTAGTGGCTTGCTTTCTCACTTTCCTTCTCTCTCTCTCTCTCTCTCTTTGTCTCTCTCTCTCTGGTCAAATTAAAATAAATGAATGATTAAATTAAATTAAATTAAATTAAATTAAATTAAATTAAATTAAATTATTAATCTTAAAAAAAAAAAAAAGAAAGAACAGTGATTTATATGAAATACCCTCAAATCCTAGCCCTGCCCCTAGCTAGATGAGTGATTTGGGGCAAGTCACTTAACATAATCATGTTGTATCATCAACAAAACCAGAGTATTGGGCTCACTGACCTCTTATTCTACTAAGAAGTTATTCTACACTAATATCCCCTACCAAGGGTCATTGATCCACTGGGGGTAAGAGGAATTGATCTAGAGGTATATATTTTCCCAAAGTTTGTTCATCTCTTTCTTCCAGGAGAGTGAGATGGGTGACCGGGTGCACCCTCAACACTGCCTTCATGCAACAATCCGCCCCAGTCTCAGCCGGCCCGCGCGCATGCTCAGTGTGCTCAAGGAGGTCCCAGGGACATGAACACTGGACCTTTCCCATGGAGGTCCATTTGTGCCTCTGCTACACCATTACCTGGCCCCTAGAGCTGTATCTTTACAAGCAATTTAATTCATGGTGAGAAATAGGAAATGAATGCAAAACAACAAATACAGAAGCCTCTCAAAAAGATTCCATAAATAAAATCATTTGGCTTTAGACAGTGGTCGACTGAGGTGAAGAAGTGCAAAGGGGAGGGAAAAGGGGGAGTGAAAATTAGGTTTGTGTACATTGAACTGAATAAACTAACTAAAATGAAATCACTGTTTTTGTCATCACAAATGGCCCATTATTGACACTTTATGTGGTTCAACCCACTGCTGTAACTGTAATCTTTGAACATTAAATTTGGACAGATATAGGGCCAGCAGGTAGCATGGTGGTTAAGGCGCTAGACTCTCTCACATGGGAGTTCAAGCAGTTCGAGTCCTGGACCTGGAGGCTTGCTTTTTCACTTCTCTTTTCTCTCTCTCTCTCTCTCTCTCGCATGTGCCCTATAGCAAATTTTAAAATATTAATAATAACAATAAATACAATTTAAAATAAATAATTCTTTAAAAAATAGTCAGATCCATAGGGTTTCCTGAACAGTGCCAACTTTGGGGACTACCAAAAGGCTGTGGGAATCTGGCAAATCCATCGCTTTGTGATCTGTAGCCCAACTGGGTAGCAGTGACTATTTTGCCACTAAAGTAGTCTCTGAGGCAAAACAAAGTGTGTCCTTTAACAAAAGGCAGTTGAGATAACTACCATAACACTGGAACACATAGAGCTCTTTCTAGAACAGCAAATGCTAGGCCCTCATGCAGGTTCATTCTGGAAACATTCACTTTCTGCATATTAACACTGGAGAGATGCTCTCTCTTTTTTGTGACTGATCTGAAACTTCTCTCCTGCTATGGTTTGTTTTAGTCATTCCTGAAAATTCTGTGAAGGAGATCCTCAGAGCGCCTGGTACCATCAAGGATAGAATCAAGAAGTTGCTTGCTCACAAGAACATCTTGAAAAAGAAAGCCAAAACTAAAAACGTGATTCTAGAACCCACTGGGATTCCCACCTCTCAAGTGAACTTGCGACCCTTCCACTACGAAGAAGGTGTTCCCCATGGCAGGAACTCTAAGGGAGACAAAAAAGACAGTAAGGAGAGAATGAAAGAGAGGCCTGGGGAAGAGGAGAGGGCAGAGAAAGGCCTGGAGAATGACGTGGAGCGGGAGCAAAGTCTCCGAGGAGATGTGTTTTGTGAGTGTCACTTTTATTTTATCCACTCTGTGAAAATGAATTGCAGTTTCTTTTGGCAAATGAAAAAAGACAATTCTATGCCTTGCACAAAGTGGGTTTGGTCTGAAATCTTAAGAATCAGGGTTCTCTGTAAATTCTAAAAACAAACACCTTCTACAGATACCAAATTGAACTTGCTGCTCTGAGAAACGAGGAGAGCGAGTCCTGTTCCCTTATCTGGGGGTGCCCTATTTGAAGTAAACCCTCCCTTCCCATTCTCAGCCAAGGAAGCCTGCTTTGCTCTCCACCTGGCGCACCCCCAAAAGCAGAGAGACTCTCACGATGTGGGTCTACCAAGCTCTACCTTTTCACTTTAAAAACAAAAAGTTTAATTGCCAGAAAACTCATGTGTTAGTAAGAGAGAGCACCTCTCAATGGGGCATGGTTCTGTCACAGTCCCTTTTCCTTCACTGCTCCATCCTGTCAGGACCCTGGGCATGCACACAAATGCACTGTGTTTTTCAAGTTACCAAGATCAGGATTCAAACCATGGTCAACTATGTGAGATCCAGCTCCCTATCATAGTGCTTAACTGCTACGCTGTAGGGCCAACTCCTTTTTCACTTTTTGAAGATACTTTTTATAGGCCCACTCTATGATAATAGAACTTCACCATTGAGTGGTTATGATTTTAAAAGCCAAAATAGACCATTGTGAAGGGGGAGTGATTTTTGTAGTGGAGCTTGGGTTTTCTAGGTGAAGCAAATAACCACCATATCTGTTGTTCCACTGGTCACTGCTCTTCCGGGACAGTGCCTGTATTCACAGAGACTTTCCATTTCATTCTTCAGGCATTTCTTGCTTCCTCTGTATTTTTGCCTTGCCTGTTTTGGGCTCTGTGACAGGTGCTCATGTGTATATTCAAACTCCAGTTGGATTTAACCAGAGGAGAGGTAGACACAGGCCCACCCACCCAAGAGCTAGCATAGCAATGACATCATCTCCCTTTACAGACGTGAAAATCTCAGAAAAGTGCATTTCAAGACCTAGTGAGAGCGGGAACCAGCAGTTAGCGTAATGGCTGTGTCGCTGGACTCCCACGTAGTCGACCGTGGTTCGCGTCCCGGACCCGGTGGCTTAAAACTCACGCCGGGCGCGTGGGCGTACGTGCCCAAGATCCCGAGAGGAGAATGGAGGAGAAGGGATTGCAGCGTGACCATCCCCCCTGGGGGGTGATTTCTCGCTATCTGTCTCTATGTCTCTCTCTGTCTGTCTGGCGAGCGCACGCGCCCTATAGCGAAAAAACCTCTCCAAAAAAAAAAAAAAAGACCTAGTGAGAATAAGCATGTTGGAAGAGTAAGATGCTTAGTTTATCTAAGGGAACCCTTCGACAAGGGTGCTCCAGACGAGGAAACTGGGACCAGTGCAAATGATATGGAAATGCTGGGAAACGCTGCTCTAGTGTCTTCTGTAAATAGAATACATAGGGAAACGCTTCTTCATTCAGCCATTTGATTCATGCCTTCTGAGCATTTGGGGTCTTGAAGGTTTTCTTAACTGACAGGTACTCTTTATTAGCCCCCAAGGTGAATGAAGCAGATGAATTGGGTCTGGTTCTGGTCCAAAGGAAAGCACTAACATCCAAACTGGAACCCAAAGGTACGTAATGCTGTCCCCTGAGTGTGTGCGCTCTCCTGTCCCAAGTCGCTCTCATTTCTTCATGGAGTAAGATGATTGTTTATGAATCACTGCTTCACTCCAAAAGCCCCAAGGGAAAAATGATTACTGGTGATGCACAATGCCAGTGTTAAAACAGCAGGTCCTCGCAGGATCCGTAATGACTACAATATCCAACACTAAGGGGATTATCTTCTCTCCGCCATCCCAGCGGACACCATGAGTGAAGGTTGAGGCAGTTGTTTGTGCGGAGATGGGACTGTATATGTGAGCAATTTCTCCCAAAACCTAACCATTTCTTCAACTCCAGAATGTGAGGAACCTGAAATCTGACCCAGAGTACCTGTCTCTGTTACCTACTGCCACAGTAATGCTGCATAACAAACACTGCAGACCTTCAGTGGCCTACGGCAGTCAGTGTTTACTTCTGCCTGTGGATTGGCTGGGTAGTTTTGAGCTGCGTGGGGTGGGCACAGTCGTGGGTCTGCAGTCCGCCATGCACTGGTTTTGGTGACTTCGCAGATTTCAACTTCGCTCTCAAGCACACCTGGGGCCTCAGATTGATTAGGGCAGGGGAAATATTGGATCGGTGTGTGAGAGGTAGGTAAAGGCAGTATTTGGCTTGCATACGAGAGATGTGCTCCCAAACAAGTTTAACACCTTTAGGAATTAGTCGGCCCTAGAAGGACTAGTCTCTCTCCAGGTCATAAAGCCTGGTCCAAATTCAAAGGTGTTAAAACATCACAAGACACAGCAAATAAAAAACAGGATTTGTATACTTATGTACTAAGTGAGTGTTAGTCATGGACTACATGAAACACGATTTCAGAAATCTGAAAGTTCTGGCAAGGCATACTTGGATAAGAGAGATTTTATTTTCTGGTCTAATTTTTTTTAACAATTGCTTATATTGTATATTTCTATCTCTTTGCTCAGGGGATCTTGCCCATTACTTATTTTTTTCATAAATATTTTTCTTTTTTTGCTTTTGTTTTCATTTTTTTTGAGAGAGATATTTTTTGCTATAGGGTGCATGTGCTCTCCAGAAAGACAGAAATCACCCCCACCCCCATCCCCAGGGGGAACGGCCACATTGCAATCCCTTCTCCTCCATTCTCCTCTTGGAATCCGGGGTGCACACACACATGCACCCAGCCTGAGTTTTTAGCTGCCAGGTCTGAGACTCGAACCGCAGTCAACTATGTGGGAGTCAAGCGATGTAACCATTACACCATCTGCTGGTCCTTTTGTTTTCATTTTTAAGATCACAGCAGGACCTGTTTCAAATGGCTTTACAGATTTAACTTGAAACTACATATCTGGTTTGACACTCTCTTGAAGGCCTTGCAATTCCATTGTCTCTAGAACTGAAAGTATGGCATTGCCTTCCGGAGCACAGATGTTAGACTTCTTTCTAATGTTCTTACTGGTTTTTAAATGCTCTCTCTCTCTCTCCCTCTCTCTCTTTTTAAAGCAACTTTAAACATCTCAGTTGACTGCAGCTTTGACCATGGGGTCTGTGACTGGAAACAGGATGGAGAGGATGATTTCGACTGGAATCTTACTGATCGAGATAACGGTACTTAGATTAAGATTTCATGTTCTGTGATATGGTGAAGGCGGAAAAAAGGCTCACCAATGACAAAGGGTTATTATTCCTGTCACTGAGAAGATTAGGGTTGTTTGTCACCTTTAGAAACCTTCAGACCCTCTGAGGTCTCCTCTGATGGTGACAAACTCCATCCAGCCAATGTCTCCTCCTTAATCCCTGTCCTGCACACCTCAAAGAATGCTCCAGCAAGCTTCTGCCATATTCGCTCTTCTACTGCTGAGACAGGCAGTGGGATTCATCTAAAGTTTGGGAGTGTTGGGAAATGTGGAAAGAAGTTGTTCCTTTTTCCTGGTTTCCTAGCCATGGTATTATGTAGTTTTGAAGTGTTATTATTTGTTTCTTTTGTGTGGTGCAGTAACCTTGAAAAGAAGTATGACCTTCACTTAAACCTGGAATTTTAGTAGAATCACCTTCAAAGCACGAAAGCCATTATGAGTAGAAAAGTCCACTAACGTGAGTTAATCGATGCTTAAAAGAGTCACAGGCATAGGGGATATGTTCCTGTCCTTGTAAATCAGAACTCAAGCGTGGTATGTTGCATGTGGCAGCTGAGCACCATGAAGCCATCAGACAGTATAGGTGTGTTGTGGATCAAGCACCACCTGTGGAGCCGGCCCTCATGTACGTCCTCGACTCAATGGGGAAATGAGTCCAAGGTCCCAAGAATCAATGTGAACAGACGGTTCTGGAGTGCAAGTTCTCTGTCAGCCACAAATGCCTGGCAGCATTAAAGGACCATATAATTAGATTCTCTTTTTTAAAAAAAATTATTTATCATTTTTTAAATTTTTATATAGGGCATGTACACTCACCAGAGAGAAAGAGAAAGTGAGGAAGCAAGCTGCAAGGTCCAGGCCTTGACCATGAGTCAACCATGTGGGAGTCCAGTGACTTCACCACCATGTCGCCTGCTAGATTCTTATTCCATACCTGCTACTACCAAGCTTTGTAAACATGGAAAAATTTCCTCAGTTTCCTTCTCTGTATAACAAAGGATTTCAACTTTGTAATCCCTAAAATTTATTTTAGTATGAAAAGTTTCTTGCTATGTTCAAAATGAAAAGGACTTCAGGAGATTATTATTCATGTTTTATAGCTTATTTTATACATTATAGCCAAACCCCTTACAGTGGCCTCAGTAAGTGTGTAATTTTCATTTTTCTCTTAAAGCTCTTGGCTATTATCTGGCAGTTCCAGCCTTGGCAGGGCACAAGAAGGACATTGGCCGGTTGAAACTGCTCCTCCCTGACCTGCAGCCGCAAAGCAACTTCTGTTTGCTCTTTGATTACCGGCTGGCCGGTGACAAAGTAGGGAAACTTCGAGTGTTTGTGAAAAACAGTAACAGTGCCCTGGCATGGGAAGAGACCAGGAGTGAGGACGACAGATGGAAGACAGGGAAGATTCCATTGTATCAAGGGATTGATACTGCCAAAAGTGTAAGTGGGGGGAAATAATTAAATTAGACATTTGCATTCTTTTCCAATGGTTTAACAAACACATTGAAACATTTCCTGACGTACCTAGGTACTGGGATTACAAAGATGCCTAGCACTTTCCCCCTCATGTCTTAAGGGCTTACATTCTAGAGTGAAATAGGCCAGGCAATTAATCAGCACAACTATTGGCAATACTCATCAGGTGCCTGCATATCACGTTCTCTGGAGACCTGTTTGTGTGTCAGGCTCCTCTCCCCAACTTCCGCCCAAAGCCAGCTAGACACTTCTGACCGTGCAAAAGATTATCGTGCTCTTCTGTCCGATGCCCAGAATTTAACACAAAGAATGGCAGCTACGTAGAAGGTGATTTGGGAAACGTTTTTGAAATGAACTGACAGTGGCTGTTGGGAGTCCCCAGATTTGACAATCTCCTGGGTGGACTCACAGAACTCAGAAAAGCTGTTATTCACCACTACAGTTTATAGAGATGAAAATCAGAGCTAAGGGTGCAGGCTCAAAGGGCAGAATCCAGGAGAAACCAGGCACAAGCTTGTGGTTGTTCTCTCCCAGCAGCTTTTTTTTTTTATTGAGAGGTTTTTGCTATAGGGCACGTGCGCTTGCCAGAAAGACAGAGAGAGACATAGAGACAGAAAGCAAGAAATCACCCCCCAGCGGGGATGGCCACGCTGCAGTCCCTTCTCCTCCATTCTCCTCTCAGGATCTTGGGCACGCACGCACACGCGCCCGGCATGAGTTTTAACCCACCGGGTCCGGGATGTGAACCACGGTCGACTACATGGGAGTCCAGTGACATAGCCATGACGCCAACTGCTGGTCCCCTCTCCCAGCAGCTTCTAATCCTCCCAGCAACTCTGTATGGCAACATTCACCAAGTCTTGCCCACCAGGGAAGCCCAGTTGTTTGTTGGGGGTCAGTCTGCCCCCAGACAGACCTGACTGACTGACTACCTGACTGACTTTACTTATCCAGTCTCCAGCCTTCCCAGAGGTCAGGTTGATAGCCATTGTGTAGCCTTAATTTCATTGAAAGAGCCCTGTTGTTTAGCATTCAGATTTTTTGAAGTAGTTTTTCTTTGTTCTCTATTCATTCAAAATGTTTTAAATATTGGGTTGTCGGGAAAGTCATGACTCATTTTTCCACAGAAAAAAACAGATAAGTATGTCATGATTAAAATACATTTTTATACCTAATATAAAGAAATTTGTTGCTCTTTTGATTCTTAATAAATTTCTAAGATTAAAAAATTATTATAGGGGACCAGCAGTTAGCGTAATGGTTATGTCGCCGGAATCCCATGTAGTCAACCGTGGTTCAAGTCCTGGACCTGGCGGCTTTAAACTCATGCCGGGTGCTTGTGCACGTGTGCCCAAGATCCCGAGAGGAGAATGGAGGAGAAGGGATTGTGGCATGGCCATCCCCCCTGGGGGGTGATTTCTCGCTTTCTACCTCTCTCTCTTTCTCTGTCTTTCTGGCAAGCACACACGCCCTATAGCAAAAACCTCTCCCCCCCAAAAAATGATTATACTATATTATGAAACATTTTTCGATGCATGAAAACAATAAAATTCCAGATAATTTTCAAATACATAAACCAATATTTTAAGAAAAATAACTATACTACCACAAACTACCAAAATATGACTTTATCCAAATAATTCCCTTTTGATTATACAGTTTTGCATTGGATTTTCACAGGAAATATTACATTTCTCTTAACCTGGTTTTTAAAAGAAAATTAAATATATTCGGGGGGTTTATTTTTCTTTAAATGGGAATTCCCGGATGTCCTTTTAAATCTTACCCTTCTCACCTCTATGGGGCTTTTCAGAATCGTTTAGGTGTTGCTTTAGGTGACCCTGTTTTCTCTGAACAGAACTTTCAGAGTGGATGGCTGACATCTGGAAAACATAATACAGGTTTTATAATCCGAAATCCAAAATCTAAAGTGCTCCAAAATCTAAAACTTTTTGAGTGCCAATATGATGTGACATGTCTCAGTCAAAACACTGCAATACAAAAAGATCGTATAAATGACCTTCAGACTATGCATTTAAGGTATATATGAAACATAAATGAACTTTGTGTTTAGACTTGAGTCCCATCCCCAAGATACCTCATTATATATGTCAAGTATTCCAAAATCCAAGAAAAGAGAAATCCCAAATTGAAAACACTTCTGGTTCCAAGCATTTCAGTTAAGGGATACTTAACCTATACGTGACCATATATTCAATGTCAAAGCTAATTTCTACCCCGTGGAGATGCATGAGTGTAGTCCTCAGTAATAACTATTAAGTAATTTGTTTATATCATTGTTATGAAGATTCTGAGGTCATGTCTTATTCCGTCTCTATTATCAGATCATTTTTGAAGCAGAACGTGGCAAGGGCAAAACTGGCGAAATTGCAGTGGACTGTGTCTGGCTCGTTTCGGGCTTCTGTCCAGATGGCCTTTTCTCTGCGGACCAGTGAATGTCTCTACTACCTTTTGTATCTTTATCTTTGGCTTCTTATGTCAGGTCTCTATTTTTTTATATTACATTGTAGGAACCCCTCCCCCCCATTTTAGAACTATAAACTGGAAAATTGTAATGTACCCAGAGAAATATTGTAAGACACCCTTCTTGTAAAAAAAAAAATGTGCCAATATTTGCTTTCAATATAATGCTACACTATCTTCTCATTCATTTGTGAACTATTCTACATTATATTATAGAATGGGGGAATGCCAGTTCTTCTCCCCCTCCCCAGTATTTCTTATTGGTCTACCTGAGTTGATTAACGTCTCTATACAACAGTTCTAGAATAATAACAACACCAACCACAAATGCAGAGAAATGTTAAATTGTCTGACTTTTATAGCACTTCTTGAAAACCCTGTCATCAAAGATACTTTTTCTGCCTAAGTGGCTTAGCCTGGTGTTCCATAGCCCATGTAGTCTATTTCAATTCTTTTGTAATAATAGTTATGCAAATAATCACCTTGTGTCATGGTTTACATTGATCTAAGTAAGGATGTTTGATATTGATTCTGTTTACTTATATTGGCTTTTCTGGAAAAAAATGTAGCTTTTATTTTCTCTATTAAAATACTTTCCACTCATTAACATCACTTTCTACTGTGGGAAAACGACTGCTCTTTTAGGACTTACAACTGCAATGCAAATTAGGGTGGACATTGAACTCAAGACCTCAGAGAACTACCTGAAACTAAATGAGCAGGTAGCCAGACTCCAGAAAAGGCCGATGCCTTCTTTCCTAGTCCTCTTTTCCAAATTCGAGAAGAGTTTTGTGTGGCAGTAAATCCTGAGTGATTCTCTGAGACTGACATCACAATCTGTTTAAGATTTTGGGTCAGAAATAGGTCCAAAACAGCTCTCAGATACACAGTGCCCCAGAGGTTTGCCCTTAATCACTTCATCACCTACAGCCATTACAGCATGGAGCCAGGAAGGAAGGAAAGAGAAAGGGGCCACTTACCAAACTTTCAAGTATGTAGCCTCACTCTGGAAGGTTTTTTTTAAAAACTGAAACCCTTAGTAATCCTTCTCCAACAATGTTCTCTTTAGCATACTGACACACACACCTTGTGAGATGCGTCTGTGAGTGCACGGGAGTTCACTGTAATGTCTGCGTGAGGGAATTTCAACAACGTCCACACAGGACTGTATCTCTGTTAGGATAACTCCTAGTTCTAGAAACTCAAAAATAGTGTTTCTGGTGAAACCAGATGAAGAACTGGTCGAGCAAGGCGAATAAGTCCAATTGATCATTCCCCTGACCCTGGGAGCTGCCCCTGCCATTTCTACCACAAGACTATGGCCCTGGGGACTAACTTCTGGGACCCTTCAATCCCAACACGTTGTTTTGGTTTCCAGTCAACAACCTACAGTGTCATGGAGCTCTAGCCTGTGCCAGTGCTGAATCACACCTAGATTCCTTTGTGGAACTTAGGGTCAGCTAATTAAGCTGTGACTCTTATGTCCCCAGCCACTACCCAATGGGCAAGCCCCTCTCATCATCTATCCTCTCCCCTTCTCATCCCCACACTAGTGGGGCTCCCTCCCTCTGACATTATTTCAACCCCTCTCCAATCAATCATACGTACTATTGTCAGCTAAACAAACCCCCTCCATCTTAATTCACACCAAAGGGCTCTTCTTCCAACTCTTGAGCTCAGCTGAAACTGGGCTCTCCCAGAACACCTCTTCTCCTGCAGGCTTAGTGAATGAAAGCCGCTCACCTTCCTACGCTCCACACATGGCAGGGTCTAGAGTTAAGGGTGATGTTTTTACTCCACTCTGTTCACAATCTCTTGTTTCTGTACTTCAAGTAAAAGCATCTGTTCCTTGGAGCTGATAGTCACCTGTTCTCCCTACCCTCTGTCATCAACATGTGGTATCTGTGCATGTGACCCTCCAGTAGCCTAACCTCACAGTTCTGTGACCTCCTGGATTCGATTGTAATAACCATCACCTCCTCAGCCACTGCACCATGGCCACCCCTGAACTTGATCGTCACCTCTGAACTCTTGAACCCCATCATCCTACCCTTAGGTTTGTCTGGCTTTCTCCTCTTCTTATTTCCCCTACACTTACTCTTTGGCCTTTTTTAAACCTACATTCTCTTGACATCTCCATTTTCTCCCCATCTCTTGGCTTCTTCCTGGCTTGATTCTCCTCTCTAATAAAATAAAACTTAGACTCCAAGGCCCAAAATACCTTCAAAGACACTCTGGTTGGCCCAGCCTCTGTGCCACAGCTGGTAGCATACTGGACAATAGAGCTGGAAGCCACGTGCCAACTGTGGTTCGAGTCTCCGTCTGGTCAGCCTGAAAACACACTGGGTACATGTGAACCTTCCCAAGATTCTGGTGGGTTAGGGCCTGGACTCAAATCACGTGGCTGGCCATGTGGGATCCAGAACTTGCCTGCTTATGCTTTTTTTTTTAAAAAAAATATTGTTTTCAAATCAACCAGTGGCATTGTGGTTAAGGCAGCTGGATCCCACATGGTCAAATGCATGGTTCCCACAGTCAAGTCCCAGATGCAGAAGCTTGAAAAACACGCTTGCTGGGCTCGTGTGCAGGCATACCCAAAATCTTGAAAGGAGAACACAAGAGAAGGGACTGTGGCACAGCCATCCTTCCTCAAGGGGTTCTCTCTCTCTCTCTCCCCAGCAAACACATGTACCCTATAGCAAATTTTAAGAACAAATATTTTTCCTTTAGAGTTACCCATCGAAATATTTACAGATAAAATTATGTGATGTCTAGGAGTTACTTCAAAATAACATGGGGAGGGGAAGGTTAGTGGGAGTGTCTGGAAAAGGAGACCATAACTTTTTTCCTGGAGTGAGCAATATAGTAAATATTTTAGGCTTTGTGGGCTACATAGTCTCTGTCATAGCTACTCAGCTCAGCCATTGACAGCCCATAAATGAGTGGAGGTGTATGCATTCTAATAAAAACTTATTCAAATACATGTAGCTGGCCAGATTTGGCCCACGGGTCATAGTTTATGGCCCTCGGGTCTAGAGGTAATGTAAGTCATGAGCCAATCACTGCTGCAACTGAGTGAGGGTCTCACACACGGGGTCTTACAATATCTTGGTCTACTTTTCTATGCATTTGAAATTCTCCACAATGAAGCATTAAAAAATAACCAGGGGGGACCAGCAGTTAGCATAATGGCTATGTCGCTGAACTCCCACGTGGTCGACCGCGGTTCGCGTCCCGGACCCGGTGGCTTAGAACTCACTCCGGGCACGTGTGCGTGCATGCCTAAGATCCCG